CTATTTTAGATGAATTTCTTTGCAACGTAGGAAGAAAATTCATTCTTTTTTGTGACTTCGACACTCGTAAACTTCCAGCTTATATTCCAGCTTTCTATAAAGAGTGTCTTGATGCATGGTCGGAATTGAAGACTTCAAATGTCGTTTCGTATGAGGATGTTATTGACCAAATCATTTGGAATAACAAAAATATTGTTGTTGACAAACAATCGCTTTTCGAAAAACATCTGTTTTGTCAGGGAACTGTTAAAATTGGGGACTTGCTATCTAACATGGGCAACTTTCTTCAAAGTTCGAAGGTATTGGCAGCAAATTTATCCCCGACTCAATATTTTGAGCTAATAGGTGTTGTGGATGCTATTCCCATTGCGTGGAGACTTATTATAAAAGAGTCACAAACAAATCAACATTTCTATGCATCAATCCTTGGAGATAAAGTATATATTGAATTGGATGAAACTGAAATCGATTTGTTCAAAGTAACATCAAAATTACTGTATAACCAATTTAAAAATAAAAACCAAACTCCTCCCTCTGCTCAAAAAAAGATGAAAAGCAAATATCCCCAACTTGTAGTTGATTGGAAAAAAATCTATTCTTTACCGTTTACCGTCACAGTACAAACAAAAATCAGAGAGTTCCAATGTAAAATACTGAGCGATATCGTATACACCAATGATAAGTTGTTCCGTTTTAAAATGATTGAATCGCCTTTGTGCACATTTTGTCAGAAAGAAGATGAATCCCTCCAGCATTTGCTATTTCATTGTAATATAACAAAAACTTTTAATTTGCATTCGCCTCTTGGATTAGTAACAAAACATATCTATGGACACGTTAACACTAATTAATATTCTGTTTGGCGTATTTAATGACAGTGAAGATTTTGCTATTTTCAATCACTTAATACTCATTGCTAAATATTTTATTTCTACATGTAAAGTGAACAAAACTAAACCAACATTAAGAATTTTCTTTGAAAAGATCAAATTAGTTCATCATATAGAGAGAAAAATTGCCAAAAGAAATGACAGGCTCCATACACACTACAAAAAGGGAAAAAATTATTGCCTCTTTCTTAACTAAGCATCAATTTAAAGTCTTGTCAGCATGTGTCTTGTACTTTATTCATTAATTTTAGTTATTTTGCCCTTTTGTTTTTGGTATATTCATTTATTTATTTATTTATTGTAGTGTTTAACTATTATTGTATTTCTTATTTATTTATTTATTTATTTACTTATTTATTTATTTATTTATTTGTTTGGTGTTTTTTAGTGTTAGTGCGTCTAGTAAATATGCCTGTAACCGTAATTCTCAATGTAAATAATAAAGAAATAAAAAAAATTGTTAAAATAAAAAAAAAAATCCAATTTAGTTAATATTTTAGATCAGACAAAAACCAAGTCTCGTCTTAATTCAGCTTATGATATTTAAGACGGAATTCACCAGAAGTTCGAGTAACAAGTGGACAAAAACTTTGTCCCAAGATTATTTACATCGTATTGCAAACTTCACTACGACTGTTTTAAATATCTTCTCAAAAAGAAACATTTCTAGCAACACCAAACGTCGAAAAAAAATGCTGAACTTCGCATGAATCACTTGAAAGTACTGGTGAAATAAAACTGATGATAAAATTTTACCTGTGTTTCACAATTTCTCCGAACTTTGAAATTTTTTTTCTCCTTCCCAAGGTAAATTGTTTTCGGTGTTATTTCAGGCAACTATTTATATCTTTAGGTTTAAGAAAAAATATAAAAAGGACTGTAAAATACTTAAAATTATTCTGGTACCAGATTTTTGTACACTAAGAACTGAAATTGTTCCATTTTCTGTTGGATTTCGTCTTCAATTCCTAATGTACTTTTCGCCATGCGATCAATTGTTTCTTGGTGCTCAGCTTAGTTTTAACTTAAAAAATGGCGGCTGCAACAAAGCTGGAAAATAAGAAAACTTCAAACAAGGGTTACCGCAAAGCTAAAAGGTATCCGTGTAAACATCTATCCTTAAACTGCATCTGCTATATAGTTATTGGGTTTTTCTTCGCGTACCGACAAGCGTTTTTGGCTGTTGTTTTAGGGTACCACTGAGCTATTAAAAAAAGAGCCGCAAGGTGTCTTCAAAAAAAATTAATAAAATATTTATAACTAGAGAATATCTGCTTTTCATGTCGCCAATGAATTGGTCAAGGCCCTAACTATAACGTTATCGCAAAGGAAAATTCACAGATAATTTTCGGCTTAGCTGACATGACACAATTTCGATAGTTCGAATATCGAAATTTTGCTCGATCCGAACTCAACGGTTCTTAATTTATTTAATTGCTCCAAAAAAAAATTAATATCAAAACAAACTAACCTTGTTTTGTTTACTTTTTCACAAGGGGCTATCAATATAGAAAGTATGAGCGAAATCGATTTTTTGGCTGTGTCCGCGATTTTGATGATCATAACTGGTTTACTGACAATGACTCTTAAATTTCTAAATTTACACTCCGACAAGATGCATTCAGGATAATTGTTTTCATTGAGCTCAGGCTCTAACCTTTAACGTTCTGTGTTTCTCACTGACTCGTCTTGATGGACAATCTGATGCACACCAAACAATGAAAGAAAGACGAGAACTTGACGACGGTTTATCATTCTTCGAACAGAGCTGAAAAACAATCCAGCCAGCTGTCGCTACTTCATTTGACGGAGCAGTGACATTTTAGGACAGTCTCTGCTTCCAGTCTCATTGAGGTTAAGATGTGAAATGAAAGGCAATTTGTGGCGCAAGCTGATTGGTCACTTTCGTTGGTTGAGCCACTTGAGAAACTATTTGGGCAAAAAGGAGGCGCACAGCAGGAACAAAGATCAGTCGTGCAAATCTCTGAATCGGTCAATCTTTTCGCGCGAAAGACGGTATCAAGCCGAAAAGTTATTCCGCCTTCGCTAGAACATATAAATAGAGTGAGGTTACTAAGTGAGCAAATCAGCTAGAAGAAACCGAACGGAAATGTCGGACAACGTAAACACAACGATGAATGCAACACAGTCATCGAGCTGCCCCAGCAATTCTACAGTAGAAAAAATTGCAACGATCTTTCCTTACTGTCTGATTTTTCTTGTTTCGCTGGCTGGGAACACCGTCATCGGAATAATTGTCTTCAAGACGCAGACCATGAGAAAACCCATCAACTTTTTCATTGTAAACATGGTCATGTCCGATCTGCTGTATCAGATAATCAAGATTCCTCAGCTTATACAAGTACTCTATATAGACTCCTGGCTGATCGATGGTGCTCTTGGCCAGGCCTTATGTAAGCTGGTTTACTTCTTGAAAGGTGTTTCCCATCTTGTGTCTATTCAAAGCCTGGTTCTGATAGCAGTGGATCGATTTGGTGCTGTGGTATTTCCTCTCCGTTCTCCACTCATCTCTTCAAAGTTGTGCCCGTTGTTCATTACCGCTTCTTGGATCGTCGCGATAGCTGTTAACTCCCCAAAGCTCTTAATATTAAAACTTGTTGAATATCCAGAAAAACTGGTTTGTAAGCGACGTTGGAATGAAGTTTTTGGAGAATCCTCATCCCCTGAGAATTATCGCTTGTCCTTTTTAGTTGTATTCACTTTTATCCCGTTGGTGTTGCTAGCCATAGTTTACATTATCATCTATCTAAAGCTCAAGTCACAGAAGATTCCAGGCGCGCAATCAGCCAACGCTGGACAACAACGCCAGCGAAGGGAGCGAAATGTGTTAAAAATGGCCATTGCTATAGTGTTAGGGTTTGCAATGTGCAGGCTTCCTCTCGCTATCTGGCTTATTCTCCTCATGTTTACGGACACCATCATATGGCCGAATTGTGCCTTCCGATACTCTTTCTATATTGTCCATTTAATGGCTCTGGTAAATTGTGTCATAAATCCTTGTATCTGTTTTATTTTCAGCAGAAATTATCGTAAAGAACTTAAGGCTCTCGTTAGATAAATTATTTGACTTCCGCGGTAGGAGGGTTTGCGTAAGGGTTTGCGTTGATGCGGTTTTGCGTTATTTTTAGTGCGGTTTTGCGGAAATCTTTATTTCAACCTGCGGCATTGCGGTTTAATAAGACTAAGCGGCTTGCGGTTTTCATAAATTTTCTATCGCGGTAATCGGTGAAAAAGAGTCTGCAGCCGTCCGCGCTTTCCAGTTATGACAGTTCTTACT